ATTATCTAGCTTTTAAATTTTTGCCGTTGTGTTAGGTTAGAAATATTATGTCAGGGCTGTTTTAATTTGCTTAATTTCTTCTTCTCTAAGTTTGAATCCCTTTTCATATGTTCAGAGGTCATTTTCGTATATGTGTATTTTTTTTGTGAATTGTTCTTTTTCCATTTTTCTATTGAGTATTTGGCCCTTTGTCAACTTTTAAAAGTTTCTGATACGTTAGTGGTGTTACCTCTTTGTGGTGTATGCTTCCTAACATTTTTTCCCTTCTTTTTTATCATTTTTCAGGTGTAAAGACCTTTGTATGTATGTTTGTGATGTGTATATTGTTAATGATTTTTGGTTTAATTGTGTTTTAATCAGAGAATATAGTTTATTGTTTCTTCTTTATGGAATATACTTACTTGTGTGTGACTTATCATGTGATCAATTTTTTTTAATGTTCTCTGGGTCCTTGAGAATAAAATATATTTTTTTATTATAAAGGGAGTAAGTTTAATGTATGTGTATATGTGTGTGTAAATATGCGTATACATATATATGTCTATATACACGATTTCCTCTTGTAATTGTGTTTTTAGGTCTTTTATCTTGTTAATTTTGCACATTTGATCTTATACTAAGAATGGTGTATTAAAGTTTCCTGTTACTAATATGATTGTGTTTCTATGTGTGCCTTTTGCATCTCCTATGGTTCTTTCTACACAAAGGTAATTATTACCTTACTGATGTATAGATATTCATAAATATTATACCTTTGTTGTGATTTGAAACTTTTAGCATTAATACAAGATCTGCTTTGTCTTGCTCAGTGGTTTTTTCGCTTGAATTGTACTTTGATTCTTTTTTTTTTTTTGAGACGGAGTTTCACTCTTCTTACCCAGGCTGGAGTGCAATGGCGCGATCTCAGCTCATAGCAACCTCCGCCTCCTGGGTTCAGGCAATTCTCCTGCCTCAGCCTCCTGAGTAGCTGGGATTACAGGCACACACCATCATGCCCAGCTAATTTTTCTGTGTTTTTAGTAGAGACGGAGTTTCACCATGTTGACCAGGATGGTCTCGATCTCTTGACCTTGTGATCCACCCGCCTCGGCCTCCCAAAGTGCTGGGATTACAGGCGTGAGCCACCGCACCCGGCCCTTTGTCTGATTTTAAGAATGCTATGCTGGCCGGGCATGGTGGCTCACACCTGTAATCACAGCACTTTGGGAGGACTGAGGCAGGTGGATCACGAGGTCAGAGTTTAAGACCAGCATGGCCAAGATGGTAAAACCCCATCTCTACTGAAAACACAAAAAATTTAGCCAGGTAAGGTGGTGGATGCCTGTAATCTGAGCTACTTGGGAGGCCGAGGCAGGGAATTGCTTGAACCTGGCATGTGGAGGTTGCAGCATGCCACTGCACTCTGGGCCTGGGCGATAGAGTGAGACTCCGTCTAAAAAAAAAAAAAAAAAAAAAAAAAAAATGCTATGCTGCTTGGTTTTTTATTGTGTCTGTTTGCCTGTGATAGTCTGTTTATTTATTTGTTTATAACATTGTTTTAAGTGTATTTTTTATATAGTTGTGTCATGCTTTGTGGCCAGATTTATTTTTTTTAAGAGGTGAATTAAGCTTTTTCACATTTGTTGATATGACTTTCACATTTATTGAGTTATTGATATATTTTAGCTCAACTCTATCATGATAAATATAGTGTGGTATTGTATATGTCATAACATGTTATATTTTATTTCTCTATATGTTTATTATGCTTTTGAATGAAAATGTTTGTTGCTATTTAGAAAGGTTATATTTTTGTTTTATTGGTTTCTCTTATACTTAAAACTTAAATTCCCTTATCCCTCATATTTAACTCTGTTCTGTTTAGTTTGTCTTAAAGGTATTCTTTAACTATTGCCCATACAATAATCAGTATATTCTGCTTTCCTCTTTGCGTCTTTCTTTCATTGTTTAGTTACGTTATTTCTGCTTTGTCAGAACATATAACAATTACATGTTCTCTTTCAGTGTAATCCCCAGCTTTCAGTTTGAAATCTACATATTTTATGTATTGACATGTCCTCCGTTTGTTTTTTGCTGAAATTTTCCTAGTTATTTATTACTTGAACAAGGCTCATGCTTTGGTAAATTCTTCAGAAAGAGCTCATTAATGTGATATTCCCTCTGCTCTTGTGCATTTGAAGGTTTTTCTGCAGAATTGGTGTTTAAATGACAGCATTGATGGATATAAACTTCTTAGTCTACACTTTTAAAAATTGAGTTGTTTGAAAATATGGTTTCATTGTTGTCTTGTTTTCTGTGTTGCTTTTGAAGAATCTGATGCCAGTCTGATTCTTTACTTCTCTATGTTATTTGGTCTTCTTGTGTAGAGGGCTTGACAATTTTCCCCATTATTTTTGAAGTCTGTTTTACAAGAATCTGTCCTATATTTGATCCTTTCAGGTTTTTTATTCACAGGTACCCATTTTATCTGGTATTAATTAGTTCTTCCGTTGGGGTTTTTTTCTCCTATTTAAGGACTCCAATTATATAAATGTAATTCCTTCTTTGCCTGTGTTCCATTTCTACAACTTTCTCTCTAATTCTTCTTTCTTTATTTTATCATTCTTCTTTGAGGTTTTTTTTTCTTCCATTTTTTCAGTGCCTCCTTATTAAATCTTGATTGAGTCCATTGTCCCTTGCGTGCTTTGGAATTTAGGCTTTGTTTCTGAGATGATTTTATTTCTTCTATTTTTTTCTGAGTTAAATCAATTCTCTTTTCATTTTTTCTTTATTTCTGTTCTTAATTTTTGAATTTCTGACTAAAGCAATTTATATCCTTAAATGCTTGATTGAATATATGTAGTTTAGTTTTCAAGTATTAGTTTTTTTTTTTTTTTTTAAGTGCTTCTTTGTTTTTTTCTGGTAGGGGAGAAGAGTTTGATTTTCATTAGTTTAGGTCTTTTGAATGGACTTTCTGATTTTTGAGTAACAATTTTCTACATTTTTATTAAATATTTTTGTTCTTTATTTGGGTGTGTAAAAGACTTTCTAGTTCTCTGGTGCCCTCTTCTGTTAGTGTAGCAGTACACATGTTAGTGGTTGTTTATTTATTTTTGGTGCGGGTTAGATAATGGTTTTGTAAATCCTCCGATTTTGTAGTTATGCTTTATCTTTGACAACTGTGAATTTTCTTGTTTGCATCTTTTTTCTCTTCCTACCTAATTGAAAATGTGGCCTTTCACTTTTTATTAACTCTTTTCTTTTGCAGTGTAACTGTGCGTTTGGAAGCCTGTCACTTCAAATTGAGCATGCTTTTACATCACTTTTCTGTAGTCCCTGCTCAGGCCTACTAGGACACTTTTTAAAGGATTTTCACGCTTAGTGTAACTTACACTTTCTGGGTTTTTAAGGTCCACCTTAGCACCTCACTCATTCTCCTCTCTTTCTCCCATTTTTTTCCAGCTTACTCTTGTTATTTCAAAGCCTTATCAGTGTGGTAGGAGTGTAAGAGTTCTGTCCCTGTGTTTTGGTTGGCCTGCCTGCCTGCCTGCCTGTGTGCCAAAGCCATTGTGTTCAATAATTCTTCTTGTTGCTCTAAATTATTTTTAGAGGAAGCCTTGACATCTGTCATTGTCTTTAGTTCTCGTAAGAATAATTTGAGGCCTAGGATATCAGAATCTTTTTCTGAAAACGTTTTTGTCTTATATTGCTGGCCAGTTAAAGGAACATGTCTGGGATTGTCTTAGTTCATCTTAGTAGCCAGAGGCTCTCTCTATTGTCCAGAAAATATGGCACCTGGCTGCAAGTCTATACAAGGACTGGTTTACTTTTGTTCTCTTCCTCATCAGGGGGATGAGTCTTTTAGGGACTCAGACACCCCAGCTTGGTTCCATAGCAAAGCTTTCCCTTTTGTCTCACTTGCCATGGCAAGTTTTCACAACCCATGTTCAGGTTTCAGTTGATAGGTTATATAGGCATATATTCTCAATGCTTCTGTCTGGCTTTGTGCTTACTTATTTTATTTTACTTATTTTTTACCCCTGGCTTCATGCTTCCTGTAGAGTTTAGTCATTCCTCTCTATCGTTTTGTATTTTTAAGAATTTCTTTACTTTTTCAGTAGCATGTATCAGGACGTTTGGTTCTAATTACCCACACCATTATTACTAGAAATGGCAGCTGATTTGTTCTTTTATTAAAACATTTTTAATGTTTGATTATGGGACTTGGGGTGGGAAGAATAATAGATTCATTTGCTCAGTTATCCATTTTGAGTCAATCTTGTACCAAGTAAAGACCTGCTATATCACTGACCAGAAGGTTATTTTATTTCAGTGGTAAAGCAGCTTATGACTGGTGATAGCTGTGGTTAATAATCATCATAACAATAATGAGGAAAACTTATTTAGCCATTGGAATGTGCCAGATACTCTGTGTTTTTCATATATTATTTTGTTTTTAATAAAATCTACTAATTTGCTATTATTATTTCCACTTTACAAATGATGCCCTGAGCTACCATATCACCTGCCTAAGTGATGGTAGGAAGTGGCAGAAACATGTCTCAGGCTCTGCCTTGGGCTTTGCAGATATGGGGTTAGCAAATTCTAGCTTGTTTCCTACCTTCATGGAACTCACAGGAGTTAATTACTAGACACTGTGGGATGGTCAGGGATATAATTTTAGAGTCTGAAAGTGGCTCACTAGTATTTCCACTAGAACTAAAGATAATGTCTCTTCTTAGGAAATGACTGTAAGTTCATGCAAATGGAAAACAGATTAGCAAAGATCAAAAGAGTGTCTTTTAATTCTCTAAAAACCCTCCATACCATGTAGTGTAGTGCTTTCTTCAGTTAGTACTACGTGAATGTTAATTTCATTATGTTTATTGACAAGACGTAATGAGTCTTATACCCACGTTATAACTTTTTAAAGTCAAAAGATTTTTAGTAGAATTTTAAAGTTATTTGATATAGATGGGCCAGGATGTTTTCTTTATTTATGTTTTCCTGTTGGTTTACAGTTATTTGCTGGTATAGAGGATGGAGAAAGCCTGCAGCTCTTTGAACAAAGTTCTCGCTCTACACATAAACAAGAGACTCACACCATGGAGGCCATGAAGCTTGTAGAGTTTGATCTTAAGCAAACGCTTACCAGGCTCATGACACATCTTTTTGGAGATGGTAAGTACTCAAACACAGGTTGAGTATCTCTTATCTGAAATATTTGTATCAGAAGTGTTTGGGATTTTATTTTTTTTTTCAGATTTTGAATTTTTTTTATTTTTTTTTCTGAGATGGAGTCTTGCTCTGTCATCCAGGCTGTAGCGCAGTGGTGCTCACTGCAACCTCCACCTCCTGAGTTCAAGCAGTTCTCCTGCCTTAGCCTCCTGAGTAGCTGGGATTACAGGCGCCTGCCACCTTATATTTTAGTAGAGATGAGGTTTCACCATGTTGGCCAGACTGGTCTCGAACTCCTGAACTCGTGATCCACCCACCTTGGCCTTTCAAAGTGCTGGATTTACAAAAATGAGCTACCGTGCCCGGCCTGAAATTCTTAGATGTACATAATGAGATATCTTGGGGATGGGAGCCAAGTCTAAACACGAAATTTATTTGTATTTCAGATATGCTTTATGCATGTAGCCTGAAGGTAATTTGATAAATATTTTAAATAATGTTGTGCATGAAACCAAATGTTGACTGCAATTTGACTGAAAAATATAATGAGGTCACGTATGAAATTTTTCACCTGTGGCTTCAGATTGGCATTCAGAAACTTTTAGCTAGAGAAAGAAAAATGATTATAACCTTTGCTAAGAATAATAATAGATTAGGATCAATGTCATCAATGGAGTGAAAATATAGAGGAAGCTGATAGGAGTATATTATTATGTTATCATTAAATGAGGACGTGATCAGTGGCACAAAGTTCTTTACCATGTGAATGAACCAGTAGAAAACAACATATTGCCATACTGATTACCACTATTAACAGCAAAAATATTAACATGAAATTTCCTGCAGGAGGAATAATATTGTTAAGATCCAGACCTCACTTAGTTACTTGCCTTTATTTTTCAAAAAATATTTGTTGAATGCCACCTTTACTCCCAACTATTTTTAACTTAATTGAGATATATTTTGTTTTTTTAAATCATGATATAAAGAGAAGGTTAGTGGATTTTCCTAATTGTGACCTATCTTTAAGGAATACTGAGAAGACAGATACTTGCTGTGGTTGAGATTCTTCTTTATTCTCTTACTCTTGTGATTTTTTTTTTAAATCAGTTTTGTTGAGGTGTAATTAACATAAAGTAAGCTATGCATATCTAAAGTGTACGTTTTGTTTGATAAGTTCCCATACAATGAACTGAACATACTTGCACAGTCATACAAGTTTTGACATCTTAGAGGTTCATGCCATGAAGCTACCAGCAGAATCAATACATGGCACCGTCATTGTCTCCAGGAGTTTCCTCCTGCTCACTGGCGGTCCTTTCCTTCTGCTCTTACCACGTATCACCCCAGGCAACGTGTGATCTGCTTTCTGATTAGTTTGCATTTTTTTGTTTGTATAAGTGGAATCTTATAATATGTGCTCCTTTTTGTCTGGCTTGTTTTACTTAAAATAATTATGTTGAAATTCATCTATGTCATAGTGTATATCAGTAGTCAGATTATTTTTTATTGTTAATCAGTATTCCATTCCATGATTTGTTTATCCATATACTCATTGATAGATATCTGGATAGTTTCCAGTTTTTTTGCTATTACCAGTAAAGCATATATGAACATTCATGTATGAGTCTTTCTGGATCCTAAGTTTTCATTCCTCTTGAGTAAATACCTAAATGACTAGATCAGATAGTAGGGCTATGTTTAATTTAACGAAACAAGCAAAAAAGCTCTTAAACTATTTTCTGATGTGGTTGCACAATCTTGATTCCCACCAGTAGTCTATGAAAATTCCAGTTGCTCTACATCTTCAGCAACACTTGATAGGGTTAGTCATTTTAATTGTAGCCATTCTAACAGGAGTCCAGTGGTATTTCAAATACACATTTGGCATTTATAAAGAACTCCTCCAAATAAACAAACAGAAATTGCAGCTTCAGAGAAAAATGGGTGAACATGAAGGTGGCAGATGATATATATAAAATGACCAATAAATACATGAAAAGATGCTTCTCTTTATTAGTAATCAGGGAAAAACAAAAGAAAACCCCCAGGAGCTTTTTCAAATGGGAAATAATTTTTAAAATCTAACATTTTAAATTGTTGACAAAGATATAGAGAAATAGAGTATAGCACAAGGTTCTGGCCTTATACAGGATTTGTGATTATCATTCTTCTAGCTGGGACTTTAGTACTCACTATTTTGATTCACCTCTATTTTTTCATACCTCCAGATTTCCCCTACTTATACATGAACTCAAATATGTATTTAAAGGGACTCTTGTTATAATTTATTAGGCCTTTCCTGCTCTGTTGTAGCAAAGTTTGTTAGAATATCTTGACTGACATATTGCCAAGTGCATAGTTCATGTAATTTGTAAGAAACCAACTAACTAATCCTGTATATTTTTAATATAAATACATTTTCAAAAAGTATACATCAACTGGGGTCCAAAGTGGCTCCCGCCGGAGGTCATGGCGCTCGCGAAGGCGAGGTCATCAGTTCAAGGCTAACCTGAGCAACCTCATAAAGCTCAAACTGATTGGCAAAAAAAAAAAAAAAAAAAAGTATACATCAACTTCAGGATAATGTTTTTCTAGGAAGTGGGAAATGGTATTAGGGAGGGGTGTAAACCATATTTCAAATGTATTTATAATGTTTTATTTTAAAAAGTTAAATATGACAAAATGTTATGGTTTGACAGAACTGATTAATGGGTATATGGGTGGTTGCTATTTTCTATTCCTCTCTTTAGGTTTGATCTATTTCATTAAAATGGTGTAATGTAATAGTGAAATAGGTTTCAAGTAGAAATTGTTGATGTGAAAAACCTATGATAGCCAGCATCTCTTTGCCTTCATGGTAAAAGAAAGGAATTGTGATATTTAAACAGTTATATCATCTATTTAACTCAAATGCAGGGAGATGGATTGTGCTGTTCAGACCATTTTAGAGGCAGGGTGAGGTAGAAGGGATTCCAGTATTTTAAGGAAATAGCATTCTATCTTTCCAGAAAGATTCAGGCTCATCTGAATTTTTCCATTGTCAAACTATGGAGAGAATTTTTTTAGCACCCTCCTTATTTATGTCGTCCTATCCATGTCTATAATCAAATGATTTGCCATTGGTGAGGTTTGGAAACTGGATTTGCATCTGTTGCAGGCATCACAGTATTGAATAAGCTAGCCATACTCCCTGTCTTCAAGGAGCCCTGAAGTCTTGGATCTTGAGCCCTCTCCTCGGGAAAGTAGGATGTTCTGTGAGCACACAGGCAAGGTGCCTCCTCTGAACCGAGCCTGTGTTTCTGGAAGTCTCCTGGTGAGGCATATGCATGCTGATAGCTAGAGGATAAGTGGCAATTAGCCAAGAGAAGGGATAAGCAAGGGGAGGGCCTGAAGAGTGGGGAGAAAAAGGACTAAGTAGGTGACACAAGTATTCGTGGAGAGCATGCATGATGCAGCACCACCTACAGAAAGAAGGAAAGAAGAGGTGAGAGGAAGAAAAATGACCGACAGCAAACTCTTATGAGCATGGAGAAACCATAGTGTAGGATCAGGAAATTTAAAATGAAGCTCGTGTTCATCCCCTTACTTTGAAGTCCTGAACAGGTCACTTAGCATTTCAGGTCTGTTTTCTAACATTTAAAAGTTGTGATGATTTGCTTCACTAGAGAATAAAACAAGATATAACATGTGAAAGTTGCCTTGTGAGTAGAAAATATCAAATAAATGTGTAAATATGAACAACGGGAAGGAGGAAGGAAGGGAGGGAAAAGTAAAGACAAGGCAATAAAAGTAGGGAGCACATGAGGAAAGAGTAATACGATCAGAGAACAACAGTCATGGTTGATTTGCCTTTATCATGTCTAAGGGAACGAGAAGGAGCTGTGTACCAGACTGTGGCACCGCAGTCTCATTGGTGCTGATAGTGGCTTTCACATCCTCACTGAGCACCAGCAGATATTTTAAAAAGTAAGCAAAGTACTAGCCTCTGTATAAATTATATAAGCTTTCCAAGGTGTTTCAGTATATACATCTCTCTGAAAATATGGTCCTAGACTTTCCTTTGTGTTATTGTTTGTATTTGTGTAGCTTTTAAAACCAGATGGCAGGTTTCCTTATAATAAACCATGTCTGCAATATGTGACTTTTCTGACTGTGATGCCTGTTCTGACATGGTAGGCACGATCCTGGCCAATAATTAATCTTAAATTTTAGAATAACAGTGAAGTTGTAGCTTCTTTCATTTAGGCATATGTTTGCTTTATTGTTTTAAAAATATTGTCAGCCTAGACTTTTGGTAGTCAGCTTTTATTACAGATCAATGTTGCTATTTTATAAATTTTCAAATTTACTTTTTATCTGTAAGACTGAGTTGGCAGAATCATGGAATGAATTAAAGTAAAAAAATCCACCTGCTTGGAAAATACATGTTGGTTCACATGCATTAGAAACTATCTGGAAATAAAGTCTTTTCTTCTTCTTCTTTCCTTGGAGCCATGATCATTTCTAACTCCATCCACAAAGTGGTCAGGGATCCTGAATCTTCTGAAAGGCACCTCATTCACACACCCTTGCCATGCCCTGGTGTGTTTCTGCCAGGTGTGTTGCCGTGAGCTGTTGTTGAAGAGGCACGTCAGCTTGTCCCTGGCTGTGTTTGCCGTGTTTGTGATGTCTGCTGTGTTGCCTCTCAGGGGAGATGTGAAGTGAAGTGGGAAGGTGACTGGAACCCGGGCCCATCTGATGAACTGGAAGGGTGAGTGGGCCTGTATCACAGAACACAGACTGTACTGTGTGCTTCCTTCATGCTCACACTGAATGTTAACAGCTCTTTCAGGATTCTCAGCTGTTTTGTCTGAAGAAAAGTGCTTCATTCTTTTGCCTTTTTTTTTTTGCGGTGGAGTCTCACTCTGTCATCACTGTATCTGAAGTGCAGTGGCTCACTCTCGGCTCACTGTAACCTCCACCTCCCGGGTTCAAGCAATTCTCATGCCTTAGCCTCCTGT